GCCTCCCTCCAATGGCCGTTGGAGCAGTCCATATGGGCCGCACTTCCAGGCGATCCGGCGCCTCCAGAGTCTCCACCGAACCGCCTCTACGTTCCAGCCTCCTGCCGACAAGAGGCATTCACATGGGGGCATTGTTCATGGCTCACGGGACATCAAGGACAAGCCCGTACCCTCCAGTTCCTCCGTCGGGCTCTCTGGTGGCCGTCCATGAGGAGGGATGTCCGCGAGTTCACTGCTGCATGTGATGTGTGTGCACGGTCCAAGTCATCTAACCAACCCGGCGCTGGAGATTTACAACCTCTTCCTGTGCCCAAGCGGCCGTGGTCACACATCGCGCTGGATTTTGTCACGGGACTGCCAGTTGTCGACCACCTGGACACCATACTGACCATCACGGACCGTTTCTCCAAGGCCGTGCACTTGGTGGCCCTGGCCAGTCTCCCCACTGCCAAGAGGACGGCCGAACTGCTCCTCGAACAGGTGGTGCGGCTCCATGGTTTCCCCCAGGACGTGGTTTCCGACCGGGGACCCCAGTTCGTCTCACGCTTCTGGAAAGCGTTCTGTCGCCTGGTCGGCGCTTCCACCAGCCTGTCCTCTGGGTACCATCCTCAGACTAACGGTCAGACAGAGAGGGCGAACCAGCAGCTTGGACGCTCCTTGCGCTGCTTCGCTTCGTCCCAGCTGACCACCTGGCCCCGCTTCCTCCTGTGGGCGGAGCTGTCACACAACCTCCAGACCTTCTCTGCCACGAGTCTGTCTCCCTCGAGACCTGTTATGGGTACCAGCCTCCTCTGTTAGACCATCAGGTGCCCGAGGTGGAGGTCCCTGCAGTCCAGACGCTGGTCCGCCGCTCTCGGCTCACCTGGATCCGGGCCCGTGCGGCCATCACCCGGACCAACACGGAGTATGCCCGTCAACATTGCCGCCGCCACTGGCCTGGCCCCGTCTTCCAGTCTAGTGACCAGGTGTGGCTATCCTCCGCTAATCTGAGGATGCCAGCTGGCTCCCGGAAGCTCACTCCTCGCTTCCTGGGTCCATTCCCTGTCCTCAGGGTCATCAACCTGGTCACTTACCGTCTGCGCCTCCCGGCTGCTCTCCGGATCCACCCGGTCTTTCACGTCTCCCAGCTGAAGCCGGTGGTCTCCTCTCCTCTCCACCCTCCGACGACCCGGGTGCCTCCGCCCCGCTGTGTGGAGGAGGATCACATCTACACGGTCTGCAAGGTTCTGGACGCTCGCCGCCGGGGACGTGGTTGGCAGTTCCTGGTGGACTGGGAGGGGTACGGCCCGGAGGAGCGCTCTTGGGAGCCCACGAGCTCGTTTGTCGACCCTACCGTGCTTTCTGACTTCTGGGCCCGGCGTCCTGGGATTTCGGGAGCCGTCCCCGGGGGGGGGGGGGGGGGGGGGGGGTCCTGTCACGAACTCCTCCAGCTGACCCCATTTCCCGGCACCCTTGCCACCACTTCCCATCATTCCCGCCACCAACGTGTCCTGCCGACGTCATCACGCCACCACTATAAACGGAAGTGCCGGCATTTCATTCATTACTCAGTCATCGTTTCTACCAGACTTTGTATCGAGTTCTCAGGCTTACCAGCCTTCAAACCTAACCCAAAGACTTATCCACGCTGTTTACTATTAGTAAGCCAGCTACCTTGTCCTCCAGAACTGTTACTCAGTCTCGGCTCTCTTCCCGAGCGCTGTGCTGCCGTTCCCAGAACAAAGCTGCGTGCTCTGTCAAACCCAACGCCAGCCACTCCGCGTCTGGGTCACTCACTTGCGCCACAATCCATCTCCGCTACACTTCAGCTCAGCCGTGAAACCTGACATTAACATAATTTGTAAAATCAGTATTTAGTTTGGAGAAATAAATATGTAAGTCTGATCCAAATATATAGGGAGGAGCTAAATAATATTGTGAAATATAAATATTATCGTTTACTTAAACATTTAGCTAATATGCAAATTTGCTTGCCAATAGATGGAAGTTGGTTCCCAAAATAAAAGCTGGATCTTGCTAACTTCTTTATAAACTCTTGCCCCAAGCCAGAACTTGTTTTATCTCCGGTTCTATGCCTCTGAACATGTCCAACGTGTTGACTGAAAACATAGGACGAGACGTTTTTACAGCAATACAGTCTCGCGGAAAAAATAGAACTTGATCCTATGGTAATAATCCTGATTCCTGCAGGCCCGCTATGGACAGCTCTGAGGAAGTTCACAGCCGCGACCAAAACTGTCAGCAGCAAGGTAAAAAAGAAACCTTTTCTGTGTTTTAAAAAAGAACCAACAATGCAGTTAGAAAAGCAACATAGTAAGAACATACCAAAAACTAAGTTCACTTGTTGTTTTCAACACATCTGCAGTGGTCTCTAGTATGCCTCTTTTATGTAGAAGGCCTTGTGCGTGAATCTCATTGCGGAATCAAAAACTTTGGTGTTCCTGTTTCAGCAACCAGAAGTAAGCTGCTGTCCTGGTGCAGCCACAACATCCTTGGGGTGGTGGTGGCACAGGAGTTAAGTGCTCTCCCTGTAATTGGAAGGTTGCAGGTTTGAGCCCTGTTCAGTCTGTCACTGACGTGTCCTTGGGCAAGACACTTAACCCCCCTTGCCTGCTGATGGTGGTCCCCACCAGGGTGTGAATGGGTGAATGACTGATTGTGTTGTAAAGCGCCTTGGGGGGTTTCAGGACTCTAGAAGGCGCTATATCAAATACAGGCCATTTTCCACTTACTATTTACCATTTAAACACCCAGGGGACAGCGGAGGTTGTTGTGAACTTTAGGAAGTACACAGCCCCACTCCCACCCATGACCCTGTCTGACACTCCCATCACGATGGTTGACTCATGTTGCTTCACCCAGGACCTCAGGTGGGAGCCCGCTATCACCTCCATCATTAAAAAGCCCCTGCAGAAGAAGTACTTCCTGAGGCAGCTGAAGAAATTCAACCTGCCAGTACAGTCAATGAGGCAGTTCTACACGGCAGTCATCGAGTCCATCCTCACCTCCTCAATCACCGTGTGGTATGCTGGAGTTACCACCAGGGATTTGAAGAGGCTGCGGCGGGTTGTACGTTCTGCTGACAAGGTCATTGGTTGCAAACTCCCTACACCTCCAGGACATTGAGGCGAGCAGATCGGATCACAGCTGACCCATCTCACCCTGGACACAGACTTTTTGACTCGCTCCCATCTGGCAGGAGGCTCTGATCCATTCAAACCAGAACCTCATGCCACAAGAACAGTTTCTTTCCCTCTCCGGTGGGACTCATGAACGACAATTCTAGGGCTGCTCACTCCAGTTGCCTGGTCCCAGTCACCTAACCCTTTGTTGTGTTTGTACCTGAACTGATCCTCTCTGATTAGTACCTATACTGTCTTGTAAATAGCAGCCGTTTCTCTAATTATTGGCACTTTATATTATTGTTTTATCATGAGTATATTCTTACTTTCTATATATTCTTGTCTTATTTTTTTCTTCCTTTCTTGCACCAAGTACCGCAGCAATTTCCTAAAGTTGTGATTCTCGCACATATGGCAATAAAACCATTCTGATTCTGAAGTTGGAGGAGAACAAAGCAGAAAAGAGCAGGATTTGGAGTCTTACTCTGTATTATTTCCTGATATTCTGACATCTCGCCTCTGATCATTTGGTTTCTCTGTGAACTTGCTCATAGTTGAGGCCAAACCTGCATGTTGCAAAACAGCAGGAGATAGCCATTTTTTCCACAACCCTCCGTAAAATGACTATGATGTTACTCTTTATTGTGCCCCCCCCCCCCCCCCCCCCCCCCCCAATTGAAACGGGATTTCCACCCCAACCCAACCCCAAAAACAATGTAAGAATACTAAAAGAATTTAAAAACTATGACTTTAATATGTTTTGTTTATGTATGCGTATACTCTCTGGGTTTTTTCATTACTTTTAAATACACTACCCGGCCCCAAAAATGTTGCCACCAAAAAAATAAATAAATAAAAGGCCACACACTCTAATATCTTATTTTAATTACAGCCAACATTCACTGTGGCGTTGTTTCGATAAGCTTCCACAGTATCACCAGATTAATCTCCATCCAGTGTTGCATTAATGTTTCACCAAGATCTTGCACTGATGATGGTAGAGTCTGACCGCTGCACAAAGCCTTCTCCAGCACATTCCAAAGATTCTTAATGAGGTCAAGGTCCGGACTCTGGTGGTCACTCCATGTGTGAAAATGATGTCTCATGCTCCCTGAACCACTCTTTCACTATTAGAGGCTGATGAATCCTAGCATTGTCATCTTGGAATATGCCTGTGCCATCAGAGACGATGGAACAACCTGGTCATTCAGTATATTAAGGTAGTCAGCTGACCTCATTCTTGGAGCACATCCTGTTGCTGAACCTAGGCCTGACCAACTGCAGCAACCCCAGATCATAACACTTCCACCACAGGCTAGTACAGTAGGCATGATGGGTGCATCACTTCATCTGCCTTTCTTCTTACCCTGATGCACCATCACTCTGGAACAGGGTCCATCTGGACTCATCAGATGATGGGTTCTCACTACCTTTCCTGTTTTTAATAATGCACTGGACGGTTTTTAACCCAGATTTAGTCTTTTCTGCATCTCCTTAGATGTTTTCTCTGCTTGATTCATGCCAGTTATCTGACTCTTCTCTGACCCAGACAGACATCTTTTCATGGCCACCAGATGTGTCTTTTCACATGGTTTAAGAAATGAGAAGCAACTCATTGCACCAGTTGGGGTAAAATAACTTGTTGCAGCTGAAAGATAATTGTCCATGCAGTAATTCTCCAATAGGAGCTCATACCTGTTTGCTTAGTTAAATCCAGGTGGTGACTTTGCATATGTAATACCACAGATGTACCGACACAACAGTGCTTTTAGTTTCTAGACTTTAGAAGAAACTTTGCTTGTTAATTTTTTTTGTATATTGGCTCAGTTTTACTTAGATCCAAAAACATATTTGTGGAAAATGACAGAAGCCATAACATATGAAAGATAGCTTTATTGCACAAGGTGTTAGAATGATCATTTTTAGTTTTTGCTTTCTTTTCATAGAAAATGTACCTTTGAACACAAGCAATTGCTGTAACAAGCAACTCAAAGAAATGTTCGGGATGCCCTCAACATTGTTATTTTTTTACGTTTTTGATTTTCATAGTTTTTTCCCATCAAATTTTCCCTTTAGCAAGCATGCAATGACTTTTCTGAGGATGAACAAAAAATATTAATAAAAAAGTAAAGAGGACAAATGACAACATCAAAAGAATAAAAAAAAGTATCAAAAAACAAAAATGGAAATAAAGTGATTTTTTTCTTAGCTTTTTTGCCCATTTCCGAAGTAAAATAGTCTATCTTATTTCTGATACTATTTCAATTTTGCAAAAGGGGTTTATTAACTTTAATATGTCCCCTGATTTATTCTGAAGAAAATAGCTCTTCATACAAAACTGTGTTTTATGTACAAAACTCAATTTAGAAACAACAATGAAAAAAGGTACAGATGATAGATTTAGTTTGGTCAGGTCGGTGGATTTGTACTTCAATTCATCTCAGAAGAGGAAAACGACAAAAGCCGAAATGATTCAGGTTTACAGACCAACTCCAGTCCCATATATACACAATACAATAGCAGTTTAAATGGCCAAAAGAGCTATGAGTCCCTGATTTTACTTGGCTGAATTATGATGTACCCCTGAAACCAAATTTTGTACAAAAACCCAAACAAATCAATGTGAACATTACAAATCAAAACTCAACAGACCAACGAACACCCTCCCCTTAAACAAACAAACAGAGCAAATGGTTAAATAAAACCAAAAAGCCATCATGGGAATGCGTAAATCTAGACATTCCTATAGGTTCTTGTGTCACAACAGTGCAAAAAAAGAGAAACGTATAAGAAAAGTAGGACATATTTTACAGTACAGACAGGACAACATCAAAGATATCAATTCAGTGAACATCATAGAAATTTCAAAACTGAACTCCCTGACATATAATATCTCTAGACTTTAATTGTTTTACTTCATTCACATGACTGGGATTTGTTTGACTCCTTTTTCTTTTATAGAGCAAAAACTGGCTGAGGGACACAGCAAACGGAGAACCAACATATGAGACCGTCAGTGTTTACCATTAAAACAGGCCATAGAGGGATTCTCCAGCCACTTTGAAGTGTGTTTTTGTGTATTAAGTTCTAAATAATTATATTACATGTTCAAGATACAGTAGCTTCCTGACAGACTGAGATTTGAAAAATAGCTTCTGTCCAAAAGGACCCGTAGGCTAATGGCTACCAAAGAGCCAAAAACCAATGCTGCTCTTTTAAATTGATCAATATCTGTTCGTGTTCTTTATTTTATAAACCTGTGGACCCATTTGGATACATTTTGCATTACACTGTTCTTTACGAAGCATTAATGGTTAAGAGTAACTATCACCAACAGCTAAATGTAGCACTTCTAAAGCCTCCTAGGGTCAAATTCTGCAGTACTTTCTTAACAAGTATCTAAAAAACATGTAATGTGAAACTGAGCAGTGTAGATGGTTCAAAAACATTCTCAGAAACCACCATGAAATTTAGAAGATTTCAGCTGCTTTAACCTTGCAGCAACTCACTTTGGTATTGGTTAGTGTAGACTAGCCTTTAGCTAATCAATCCTGGTAGACAGAAAAGCAGGCTATTCAGGCTTTCTATGTACAAGTAGTACAATTAATAACTTTAATACAATTTAAGGTGGCTGGAATAATCTTTTTTCGCAGAAGAAGAACTGAAATATGGAACGTGTTTTGGAGTTCCTCTGAGATGTGGCTTTGGCTTCTGCATGTTGTTGTGTTAACCTCAACTAGCTACTGTGGCCCTTGGTGAGCAAAGTGAAAACTTACAGAGATCAGCTCCGCACATGACATCCCAGATGTTCCTGATGTCTCTTGATTGTTTCTACAAAACACAACTAGGAAGGCATCACAGCCCAGAATGTTGTGTTTTGTCCCATCCTCCTCTGTTAGCTGGCCGACATACAGTAACATACAGAATGTCTCACATATATTCTAAACATTTTCTTCATTAAGTCCAACCTTCTTTTAAAAACTCCTCTTTGTTTAGATTGAATGATTGAGCGATTGTCTCATAATTAAATGTTTGACCATAATATTAAATTGCCTTACATACTACATTCTGCTGTAGTACATACCATTTATACTTTGTCATAATTTCACTTAAATGTCAACAATATACCTACATAGAAATATATACGTAAAATTCTTTATAATACCAAATATTCTCTATTTGGGATGTGAGAAGTTACAGCTGGTTTGTGGGCATTGTAATGGTTTGATTATTGAGTTCATCTGTGCAGAGGTGAGTGGAGAATACAGATGTGAACGCTTATTGACTGTGGAAGTGAACCTGAATCATTACTTTTGGAATCACATCTGCCAATAACGATTTGGGACTTTGAGAGATACAAAGAGGGCAAGAGAAAATGGGGAAACTTAAATAGAAGTCTTGCAAAATGAAAGAAAAAAAAGAAACTAAGAAGGACAGAAATTGCCTTTCTCACAGACAGCATGGCCACACAGCTTCATACTGTCTCTTGTAGTCTTCATCGTCGTGAAAACGGAGCTTTAAGCTCCTCTGTTACAGTCAGCATTTCTAAATGACAGAAATCATGTTTATTTTTTCTTTTCTTTTTTGTTGTCGCTGTGTGTCTCCTGGGAAAATCAGGTGGAGCTGAGCACCAGCCGACTGGAACTGTTAGTCGGAGTTAGTAGTTTGTTCACAGAGTTCTGCGTGAACATAAAAAGTAGGGTTAGCTGGGGTCTCTGTCTGGGCATGGAAAATATGACAGGAGGTTGGGCAGTCCACCCTTAGTTTGGTTTGATGAGAGATGGCTGCATGCCTGTTCTGGTCCAGACTCATGACTTGCTGAGGAGCAGGACAGAGAAGTGAGTCAGCGCAGCGGGGTGGACTACACCAGTGTGTATGACTTGGAGTAGGCCCCCACGCTCTGTTTCTGCAGTCTCCCCAGTGCAGAGGAGCTGCTCTCTAGCAGCGAGTCTCTGGAGCCCCCCACCTTGTTACTGCTGGTGGGGTTGCTGCTCGTGCTGGAGGTGGAAGCTGTTGCTGCATTGTTGGAGCTGGGCATGGTGAGAGTTCTCTGGGGCAGGGTGGCAGTGCCCGAGCTCGCACCCAAGCTGCCCAGCCCCGAATGGCCCAGCATCAGGGCCTGCTGCTTGGCAGGGTCTAGAGTCTTGTGACGGCCCTGGGTGTGGTACGCCCGCTGCGTCAGGCTGCGGATTGAGGCTTCCCGCGGTGGCACAGCTGGACACGGGTCATGCAGATCCCCTTGCTTGCGGAAGAATGGGTCTGCCTTCATATAGAGCGGTAGGTTGCAGAATTCACCTATGAAGGAAATCACAAGAATCAGAACAATGTGGCATTGCTTTTTATTTGGACTTGCTATGATTCACCAGTTTTGGTTGGACCACAATGTTGATAGCTTCCTGAACAGCTTCAGTTTGGAGAAATAGAGTTTGTGTACTTCGACTGATGAGCTAACAGGTAGTTTGAAGACAAAAACTAGCACTGGTCTCCGAGGTTTCTCAAAGGTCAGGTGCATTTTGAGGATGATTCGGGGGTAATGAGAGGAAAACCATATAACAAAAATGATCAAAAACGTGAAATTAGATGAAAGAAGGAGCTTTAGGGTTAATGTCCTCACATGCCTCTGTACTTACTTTTGTTGGCACGATGGGGAATGGGCACAGCCACATTTTTACCCCGGTCGTAGTCCTGTGGTTTGGGTGGCGAGGCGGTGAAGCGGCAGATCCCCGGTTCCGATGGTGTGCTTAGGGAGGTCATGCTGTCTGCCGGGTCGTTGGTACCTGTGGTCATTTGGTCGGAGGAGCTGTCAGAGATGAAGCATTCAGTGATGGTGAACTTAGCGTGCTGCAGGTGCTCCTCCAGCTTTGCGTGTTCGTAGGCTCTGGCCAGCTCCTCGTAGGTGGAGGAGGCGCTCTCTGTTGACACCATGCTGTTTCGACCCTTATCTGAGAAAAACAGATAAAAGCAACAATTTTATAAGATTTAATCTGATTTAAAAATGTTAAAATTGGGATCAGAACTCATATTGAGTCTGTGGTACTCGCTGAGATCGCCACACCTGTGTCTTGGGAGAGGCTGGCGCTGTAGCTATCGCTCTCTGTTGCTGTGATGCCGTGGGAACCCATCGTCCGCCAGTCCGAGGTCAGAGTTCGTGCCGAGGCTGTGGACTGGCTCTGGCTTGGTCGGCTCAGAGTCCACTGGCTGGAGTATCTGTTCCTGGAGCTGTGAGCTGATTTTATGCTTTTCCTGGACACTGGGTCTAAGACAGGTCACAGAGATCAGACAATTTCGTAAAACACACACGCTTTGCCAAGAACTCTGATAAAGGAGAAGGAAAGCTCACTGGTTCCAGGACGGATGTCCGACATGTCAATCAGAGGCCCTGAATTTTGAATGAGGGCCTGGTGATGCAGGGACACCCCTGTGCAGAAGTTCTGTGGATTCACTGACTGGCTGAACTCAGTGTCTGTCACCGGTGCTACTGCTTTATCCTCTCCTGTTAATCACACACACAAGTTGATGTGACAGACTTTTTACATGATAGAAATCATCCCCTAAGGACTGAAACGTGTGTTTATTGACATGCAGTAACATGCCTATTTGCTTGATTCCTTCCTTGTCCTCAATAAGTAGCTGAACACGAGGGATGTCGATGTGCAGCCTTGGTCCTTGAGGTGGACCTTTCACAGGCGTGTCTATACTGCGGTTGTTTTTGCTACACACACACACACACACACACGCACACGCACACGCACACGCACACACACACACACACACACACACACACACACACACACACACACACACACACACACGGTTAACTTCATATGCCTTTAAAAATGACAGGGAAATGTACACTTTGAAAGATCTCACCTGATGAGCATTTCAGCCAGACTCTTTGCATCTAAAAGGAAGCAAGGTCTTCATTATAATATAGTTGGAGTTGAGTATGATCTTTAAAGAAAATGACTCTGTTTTAATAATGATCTAATAAAATATGACTTATTTTCATCTGTCTCACCTCGGAGCCGTTTCAGCCTCTTCTCCTTGCGTTTCTTGCGGATGATAAAGAGTAAAGCCACACCCAGAGTGACCAGGATGACAGGAGAGCCGATGGAAAACAACTTTTTCACATCGTCTCCTTCTCCACGGGCGGATTTAATAGGAGGTATGGTACCTAATCAAAATGATACCAAAGAAAAAGCCATCATCAGTTTGAACTTTCATCAATTGTTACAAGAATAATTTCCAGTTCACTATTAATTATTTTTCAGGAAGCTTTTATTTTTAAACAAATTTGTGGCAGACGGAAAATGGCCCGTAGTTTCATATAATCATCTAGTCCTAGAACCCCAGAGGCGCTTTACAAGACACCAGTCATTCACACACACCAATATATCCATGAGGTTGAAATCAATCCTTACAACTTTTCTTTCTTTGATTGTAATTATCACGCTTTTTTAATATCAGTATGTCCTCACTATTAGTGGTGTCCCATTTTTTCTATTTGGCATGATAAAAATGCTTGAGGTAGAGGTAAAGAGAGAGGATTATGATGGAAAAGAGTAAGATCCACTCACTGCCGTCATAGTCGGTGGTAGCAAACTGGGAGGTCTGGTTACCACAGCCAGCGCTGTTGCAGGCCTTCATTTTGAGCTCGTACCACGTGGCCTCGCGCAGCTCGCTGAGGAACAGCTGATTGGTGGAGTTGGCCTTGAGGCTCTGCCAGGCCCAGGTGCCTTTGGGCCTGAAGTCCAGCATCAGGTCGGTGATGGGGCAGCCGCCGCTGGTCCAGCCCTGCAGGTTGAGTCCAGCGTGAGTGGAGTTGATGTGAGTCAGCAGCGGCTGGTCCTTGTTGAAAACTGGTTCTGGAGACGGAGAAAGATTAGAAAGTTGTAATTAAAGGTAATAAACTGGGGAAAACTCCACATATGCCTGAAGTCACAGGGAATACCAGCTGTCACCTCTTCCGTGTGTTTTAGCCTCGATGATTTCACTGATGCGACCTGAGCCCACACTGTTCTTGGCAGCCAGTTTGACTTTGTACCACGTTCCGCAGCGGAGATTGTCCAACCTGAAGGAACGTTCACTGGAGCTGATGAACACATCCCTCCATTCCTCAGTGTTGTCCACAGAATACTGCAGCACAAACCCTGCAATGACAGAGAAGCTGTCAAAATACAACATCAAAGGGTTCTAGCTGAAGCTTTACACCAGGGGGCGACAGTTAGCTTAGTATTGCTGCAGGCAGCTCAAGTTTGCCAAGAACACAAGCTCATTATAAACAAAACTGACAGCAGAAGGGAGGAAAATGATAGATTTCTGTTAGATAATCATGTTTAGGCTGTAAAGCAGGCAGGGGTTCACTCAGAGGGTTGTCAGGACGGTACCTCTGATGGAGCTTCCTCCGTTGTCTCCAGGAATCCAGGCCAGGGTGATGGAGGAGGTGGATGTGGTGGAGACGGTCAGACGAGGCTGGTCAGGAGGAACTGGGTGTGCACAAACACACAATGAGGGTCAACGTTTCAGCCAACATGCCAGTTACTGAAATTAGCCAGTTTCTTCTTACCCTGGACCACCAGGTTCACAATGATGGTGTCAAAACCAAGCGTGTTTGTGGCCGTGCAGGTGTAGTACCCAGAATCCTCAGCTTTGACTGACCGCAGCACCAGTGTGCCATTGGATAAGATCTGCCTCTGACTGTCAGCTGTCACCGGAATGGCAGAGTCCTCGCTAATACCAAAAAGAAGAAACGAGCTAGTCAGCATCCCGAGAGTTGTTGGAAGTCACAGGAGGTTTCTGTGTTTTTCCTCAGAAGCAGCAGCTGCATTTGTCTGAGTAACTCTGACATAGTAGTGGAAGACGAGGAGCTCTGACCTGTCTTTGGTCCACTTGATTGTGGGGGCAGGTTCTCCCACTGAGCTGCAGGGCAGACGCACCTCCTTCATCCAGGGTGTGGTGACTGTGCCTCCAAAGGACAGGATCTTAGCTGGAACTGCACAAAAAGACACAACATTGAACCTGAACCTTTGACTTAGCCCACTGATAATGGTAAACACAGCACGCTGTCCCTTCCCATAGCTTAGGTTGTCCGTCTGGGTCAGCTGTTTGAGTCGCCTAAACAGCCTGAGGGAAAAGGCTGAAGGGGTGAAAACAAGTAGCTGGCTCTCCTGTTTAAGTTCATCTATTCTCCATAGATCATGCCTTCTATTGATTTCTGGCTGCCCTCGCTCTCCCCAGGGGTCATTTTACTAGATAAACCCTGTTCATCACCACATAATTAACAACAGCGCTTCTTGCAACATAACCACAACTCAGTCAATACTACAGCTGTCAGTCAGCAGCAGCGAAAGTAGAGGAGAGCTGGAGGAGAGGAGATCATGCTGTCGGTTCTTCTCCTTCCTAAGCTTTTACACGGTTCCCTTCACCCTTCTTCCCCTTCACCACAGGGCCGCCGGATAGACCCACCTTTCCCTGCAGGCTCCACGGTGACCTTTGAGCTGATGTTGCCTCGGCCGGCGGTTGTCACGGCCGCAGCCCAGATGTGGTACTGTTTTCCACGGGAGAGGTGTGTGATGCGATAGAAGAGCATCTCGGGGTTGGCCTCATACTCGCTGGGTGCCTGAGAAGGAGAGCACGCCAGATCATGTGAGTGACCTTTGAGGGCTATGAATGACCAAATGAACTTGTTGCATGAATATTATTCTGTCATAAAAATCTCTCTCGGAGGTTTCCTCTCTGAAATTCTTCTGAAAATCAAGAAAGTTGGCAGACATCCTCAGTTTGAGTCAGTAACACAGTCTGCTTTTTCATACCACAGTGCAAGAATGAGATTTTGAAAATGAACAACAAAAATCTGCAAATTAACCACAGATTAATTAAAGGTAGAAACTGTAAATCGCAGAGAGTCGTCCTTTCATTTGGAGTCTGTAAAAATGATGTGATGAAGTGGCAGCCATAAAAAAGAACAAACATGTAGTCTAAAGCCACATTGGAGGTCTGAGAAAACGTTTTCTACAGGATGTATCAGGTGCTGAGCTGCAGACAATAATCCGGTGAGGCTCTTACATTCATTATGTTGAAATACAGGCTTTGATTAAATGTGAGTTGAATTCATTTGGGGGAAGAATGCGGAAAAGGTGAGTTTTGCTTTAGTTATATAGAGAGAGGAAGGTTTTGCATGGATTAAATCAAAATCACGTTTTCCACCTTGTTTCTGGGTGTAGATTTAGTTTTTCCTTCAGATTGAGTATCTGTTTTATTTAAAAGGCCATATGCATGCAGTAGAAACAAAAATATCTGGAGATTATCCTTGTTTAATCTCTAACTGCTTCATCACTCAGCAACGATCTTCAGCTGCATCTCCAGTCGCTTCCCTGTTCTTCACTCTTCCACCCTCTGGATGGATGGATGAGGGTGTGTGTGTGTGTGTGTGTGTGTATGTGTGTGTGTGTGTGAGAGAGAGAGAAAGAGAGAGAGAGAGAGAGAGAGAGAGAGAGAGAGAGAGAGAGAGAGAGAGAGAGAGAGAGAGAGAGAGAGAGAGAGAGGTTCGAACATTCCTCCAGCGTTGTGGTGATCCAGGGAGTGATACAGGGAGATAATGAAAAGACGGACAAAAAGCGCTCTCATCTCGATGTGACTGATACCCTCCTCAGCTCCTCCCTTCCACCCTGCATCCCTCTCTTTTTTATCATTTCCCCGTGGTGTCTCCCTACCTCTAATGGTGTGTCTCTTTCTCTCCCTCAACCTCCTTCTCTCTCTGCCTCCCTCCCTCCTTTTTTTCTGCCCATCCTCATTTACATGGCACTCATGCACAAGGAGGTGAGGAATATTTGTGAATAATAAGAAAGTGAGATTCTTCCCTTATATCAGACTTCACTGTGCACTTGGTGTTTGTGTGCATATAATCAAACCAAAATTGAAATACCGCACATACATGTATAAATAGAAATTGCTGAAAATGTAATGTGTGTGTGTGTGTGTGTGTGTGTGTGTGTGTGTGTGCGTGTGTGTGTGTGTGTGTGTGTATTTCTGATGCGGCAGTGTGCATGTGTGAGCTTGTTCTTGGCCTCATTTGCATATCTACGTCTCATCACGTTGCCAAGACAACCTCATCTGTTCATCTGGGAGGGCAGGAAATAAAGCGATGGTGCAAACAGAGTGAAAGAGAGACATGAGCAAACACACACACACACACACACACACACACACACACACACACACACACACACACACACACACACGTGCGGACAGGCTCAATTAATACAAGTGGTAACAAATGAATTATTTCCCTTGACTGATGTTTATCAGCTTGCTTGTCAAGGAGAAGAGGCATGTTTTCCAGAGTCACACCCATGAAGGAGGGACTCACCGGCTGTCCGGATCCTGGACTGGAGCAGTAGATGGTGTACTTGCGGATAACACCATTTGGTTTGAGAGGAGGTAACCAGGACACGACCACGCTACTGGGAGAGGAAGGAACCGCCTTGATGCCAGCTGGTGGACCGGGAACTATAGGAAACAGACAGCAACATCAGCACACGCAGACATGCATGTGCAGTGAGAATATGCATGCATATGTGTGTGTGTGTGTGTGTGTGTGTGTGTGTGTGCTGGGTGTTGAATGCCTGTTAAAATGAACAGGCTTGTTTGCAGATTGGTGGTCTTATCCTATGCTAAGCTGCTCTGGGAGGACTTGGAAGGAGTCCCTTTGGGTGGACGGCGGTGACATATGCTCATTCAGACGCTGGTCAGCAGTTCTGACTCTGTGACACCCAGCACTCTCCTAACTCTCACAAACAGATTAAACATTAGTGTCTGATCCCACGTAAGCCACTTCAGCTTGACGCTGGACGCAACTTAATGCTTTGATTGTAAGATAAAGGCTTGAGAAGGGTTTAAGAAACCAAACAAAAACACATCAGGAGGCTGGAAACTGTGAACGGGGAGGAAAAATGCTTTTGTCACATTGATCTTACAGTGTGTGGTTCAGCCTATCAAGCCTATTCAATCCTCTCCATAAATATAACTCCTGCCTGACAGCGGGCCTCATCTGGGCTTTGCAGAGGGAGCCTAGCTCCGTGTAAGACCCAGCCCTGTAAATCCATCCCCCAGCTCTTCTTTTGATTCTCAGTGAGGCCCCCTGATCCAGTCATTCAACCAGCCTCTACCCCTTGACTCCTTCACCGAGCACATGACATGAGCCGGCATGAAAACAGCATTAACTGGGAGCGCAGGGATGTAGCTAGGGTCGTTTTAAAACAGGGAGGCGGGGATGAAATCGTGGGGAGAATGGTAGGTGCGGCTCCTGTGGGAGTGATCATGGCGACTGTGGTGGCGAGGAGGAGCAGAGGATGTGGTGATCATTATCATAACTGGAACGCCATGTCAAAGTAGGAGTGGCAGCGAGAGAAGAGGGAGATAAGTCCCATCTGGTGCCCAAAAACTGCCCCAGAGTCCAGACCGACAGGCGGACCAGCTTCAACACAGCCGAGTAACAATGAGGAGGAGAGGCTCTTCGCTGATTGGTGAACACGATTATTCACTTCTGCACCAACATAAAAGTCTCAGCATTAAAAGTAATTGCCACCTTGATGATGTTTTCAATGCCTTGTTTGTCAGCTAAGATTACAGCGTGTGTTCACTTTTTTTATCTATGCATCTTTAACCCTTTAGGCTCCTCCTCCTTCTTTATCAAGAGACATGGATCTGGCTGTAATCCCACCTTCAATGGTGTAAGCACAAAATTAATTCTCTCTAATCCACGAGGAGTTAATCCCTGTGCCTGCAGCAAGAGAGCTAGTGAAGAGGATGCAGGCCCCGGCTGACGGCTGACTTCTGGAGCACTCCCCCTCCTCAGAGCCCTCACCCCAGCCCTGAGCCATGCAGCCAAAGCCTCTTAATTCTCATTAGTACCACTAATGGAGCTTCCCAACATAAATGAGCTTTTGTTAGGGGTTGGAGATACAACACAGGGTCCTTCATGGTATCTGCCCCCCATTCTCCATCTCCGTCAAAACCTTTCTGCCTCTAAATAAATCAGAAATCATTTACTCACGGTCCTCGCGCGTTTGGATGTACAGAACGTTGCTGCGGACTCCGTCTCCAGCCTGGGTGTAGGCCAGGGCCTGGACGCTGTAGTTGGTGAACTTGTCCAGCCCTCGCAGCTCTACCTGCTCACGGGTGGTGGTGATGTTCTGCATCTCGCCCCATTCTGAAAAAGAAGAAGAAGAAAACAAATGTAATTTTAAACAACTCCATTTTCCTAAAGATTTTTAAATTATACACAAAGGAAAGCTAAAGGGAATGTTTATTAATGCCTGGATCTCAGGTCTTTGGCTAAAGAACAAGAACAAAAGTTTTAATACTTTGTACCCTTTAAGCAAAAATTAAGAGGGTTAATATTGGACAATAGTGTTTGTATTTATGTGTTTGTATTTATAAGGACTCTTTGAAAAAGGTTTCCTGGCAATTCTGCAAATCAGTAGGAAAATTTTGATTAGTTTTATACAAACTAAATACTGAGGAGTCAAAGTTAAAGGTGTGACGTGTAAGAATGAAGCAAGAATAACATCGAGTAGTCAAAGTTGGTTACGTAAATCACTTTCTCACTGCTGTTCCATTTATGGATGTTACCAGTTATTTAACAATATTTCTCCGGCATTACAAGGTGTGGTTGTTTGCCGTCTTGCTGTTAGCTTGCTGATATAGTTCTGAACAACTCATTAAAGGATGTAAAACACCACAATTGACTCCTCATTCACTTCACACACACATTTTACTGTAATATCAAGTTGTTGGTAATTGACAAAGTAGCTGGAGATATTTTTAGAGCTGATCTTTGCTTCTAATTCACCGTTAGCATTGTTAGCTCGTTTGCTCAATGTTAGCCTCAAGCTTGCTTTACCTGGTATTAGCATTAAACAAAACGATGCTGTATCTTCTTACGGGTACTAGAAATAACTTCTGGGTGACTCCTGTTTACTTACTTTTGTTCTTTAACCCTCCCACTGTCTTTATGGGTGACCCCACGAGGAAAGTTGACCATTGAGCAGGATTGATGGTTTATCCATTGAGGTCCATGTGGCAGGGATAAGGAGTGAGCACCATCTCACCCCTGCCACATGGACCTCAAGGGATAAACCATCAGTCCTGCTCAAAGGTCAGCTTTCCTCGTGGGGTCACCCATAAAGACAGTGGGAGGGTTAAACAATTCTGGAACTTTATTTCCTTTTTTGCCAAACTCACTGCTTGTAAACAGTAGCTACGTCCATCTTTCGCCTTTTTATTTTTTTGAAAGGAGAAAAACTGACAAACCACCAGCAGGCAAAGAATGAAATCTGTTTCAATGTAACCTTCCTTCAAACATGAAGCATTAGACTTAAGATTATTTCACTGTAGAATTCTTACATATTGTTCCTTTAAAGAAAAGGTGAGCTACTTCTAAACCACACAGACTAACAAAAGACAACACACTCACCACTACTGTTGCACAAACAGATCCAAACAACAATCACAAGGTGTTTTATGAGAAAGGTGTGGACACTTTCTGACTCACAACACCAACACAGAGGCAGGTGAGGGTGGTTTGGTGGGATTAAGAATGAGATAGGTGATAATTACTCTGCATTGGCCACTGGGCCTGGCCCCCACAGCACCCACCTCCGTCAGGGAAGAGGGACCAAAACACGACCCGGTAGCCTTTCAGCACGCCGTGCAGCGTCATGCGGGGAGGCTCCGCCCACGTGATCACCGCTTCGTCTGACGTCACTGAGATGGCTCTCACGTTCTGAGGGGGCTCACTCGGCACTAGAAATAACAAATGAACAGGTGTTAGAGCAGGTTCCCAGTTGGATTTGTTCCTTCTTTAAAATAAATTCCCGTTGTTAAGAAGAGCCGACAGATGAGACACTGATAAGTAATCATCATAACTCGACATCACAAACCAGGGGCAATCACCGCTGAAATAAATCAGTCAGATCTGCTCAAATTAGCTCTGAATTGCTCCTTGTTCGGTCCCTGCTTTTAGAGCGAAGAGGAGAAGAGGCGGGGTGTGATGGTAGGGGGGAAGAGCAGCATGAATAGTAAGAGTTCATCCTAAAGGGGTTAAGATGCAGATTATAAGAGCAGAAGGACAACATCTTAAAGAAGACAATGTCCATATTTAATCTGTTAGTAACAGAAGCTACATGATATCATCACTCAGGGTGTCCATCGTTGCTTTTCACTCAGACAGGAAAAATAAATGAAGAATTAGAAATGAAATAGATGCATGAGAACAAGAGGAATGAACGAGCAGAACAGGAAGGACAAAAGGAGGGGCTTGGGCAGACATTTAGAAAGTAATGGGGCTCCTTGTTCCACTCTGGCTTTCCTGGCCTAATGAGGGAGCTAAATAAAGTAGAGAGACTGGTGGGGGATGTGCTGCAGATTTGGCTCTATTGTTTCCTTTAAGCACTATCTAAGTGCATATTTATCTGTATCCATTTACATTCTTTTCTGCTTTACTTTTAGATGAATAATTCGAAAATATTAATGAGTAAATCATTTTATTATGTCTCCTATAACCTTTTCTCTTGTCCTCCAAACACTCTTATCTTTCGTACCATCTTCCAGCGTGGTGGCGTTGATCTCGGTGCTGGATGGGCCCGTGCCGGCTCTGTTAAAAGCCTGGACAACAACCCCGTACTGAGCAAACTTCTTCAGGTTGTCCAACGTGTACACTTCACTGTCCCCCGTAGCTTTCATCTCCACGATACTGTACTGGCCGTTGCTGCCTGGGCCATTCTCCCTGTAACCAATCTGGTAGCCTCGGATCACCCCGTTCTGCAGCTCCTTCTTAGGAGCCTAAAAGTTCAGAGGAAAAATAATTCCCTCAATTAGAAATGCATGTGTGTATTATCATGATTACTATTATTCTTTAATGCAAATGTATCAAAACTATTTAAATTTGCTCTAAATTAGCTTTGAATCAAGAAAAAAAATTCTGAAGTATAAATCTCCGTTCAAAAAAATCCAAGTGCTGTCCCTTCCTGGTCCTCAGGGGCTATGCTGCATGTTTTAGATGTTTCTCTGCCCTAACACACCTGGTTTTAACAAACCTATTAAATGTGAAACTTAAAGTTAACAAACATCTAAATTGTGCAGATCAGTGATACCACTGGTACAAAAATGTGCTTTTCTTCCCACTCTAAAATCCTCATCAGTACTGTTTAGATCTTTAACTTGGTTGTAACTTTAAACACATCGTGATGGATGTTCAGCAAGGCATCAAGTGTCGTTAACACATATACAAAAATACACAGAAACATTATTTTTATGTTTTTTTTACCCTCCATGTAACTCGAATGCTCTGAGACGTCATTGGTTGCAGGATCACGTCCATCGGTGGTCCATCAGGTGCTGTTTAAGTTAATAAAGTGTTACTGTTTTCCTGCTTTGATCTCAAAGCAAAATAATGCAAAATGTAGGGAAAAGGAGGCTTTAGGAGGGAGACTTACGTGCTTCCTCAGTACTGATTGTGAGTTCTTTGCTGGGGAGGCTGCGACCAATTTTGTTATAGGAGAACATGCGAATGCTGTAAACACATGCTGGGTGCAACTCCACAATGTTGGCTTGATTGTTGGTTGGAGAGATATTCCTGGTTGTGTACATGTGATCCCAAGAGTCTGTATCACATAAACACAAGTTTAGGAGTGGTCTAAGCCTAAATGGAAAACGAAAATTGCACAGATTTCAAAGACGAAAGACTTTTGGTGCCTATACCTGACTTGTTCTTGTACTCAATGTCATAGCTGGTGATGATGCTGTTGCCATCAAATCTTTGGATCCAGCGCAGGTTCATGCTCCTGTCCTTCACCTCCCTGACTTCCAGCTCAGGGGGATCTGGTGGTTCTGAGTTTGTAGGAAAGAGGTGTGTTGAGTTCCACCATCAACACTTGAGACATTATTCAGGCAGCTTATAAAGCAAATGCACATGAGTAGATCCAATACTGGACATTTCGCAAAGATTTAAAGAATACCTTGTACTGTGAGCTGGATGAGACCTCGACCTTCTCCATAGGAGTTTATAGCATGACAGGAGAAGAAGACTGAATCTCCTCTTTCGGCTGGGTTCAGCTTTAAGCAGCAGCACAAAGGAAATGGTTACTTAGAGCCACAAATATGAGTAGAACATCTTAAAGCTTTTGAATCTGGTTGCTTTTTCACCAATTTCCAGTTTTTAAAATGAATAATTAAATGTTTTTTAATCCATTTAACCATGACTTATTCAGGCACAAGACACACCCTAAGTCTAAGGGATGAACAAGTATCAACAAATACCAAAACCAATTTTAAAATCAATCGATGAAAACACCAAAGGTAACATGGTTTGAAAAAAATGGAAAACAGTATTTTAGCATCAATGAAGTGATTCACAACGAGCTGTCAGCTAATGACTTAACATACAGAAGCCTGGACAATTCATGTAAATATAAAAACAGCAAAAGTCCAAAGAAAAACTGAAAAGTTTTAGAAAGTCTGATTAGATATTAATTAAGATCAATTAAAAGAATCAGCAGAAAGTGTATTATTATTATTATTATTATTATTATTATTATTATTATTATTATTATTATTATTATTATTATTATTATTAAGCTACTGTATTCTTTTATTGCTTTTCTGTTTCCCCCCAGTTTGCTGTAAAGGCTTCGGTTCTATGTCAGATGGGGTTTCTGACCTTCAGGGTGGAGATGACTTCATCTCCCTTCTTGTTGATGGTGATGGAGTACCGGGGATTTCTCTCTGCATCAATGACCGTGTCTCCTCTCTCCCAGCGGATAATGATGGGCTGCTCGCCTCGTGCCGTGCAGTTCAGCTCCTTGGTCTGGCCCTTCCTGGCCATGGTGGTGTTGGGGTGGCTGGTGATCATTGCAGGAACTAAACAGATTCACAGACATGCCTTGTAGTACTGAACAGTCTCATGATGACAAAAGGGAATGAGGATATATTACAGATGTATAGATATCTCTATTTCCGCCTTTCGTTCTCTGTTGTCATTTCACGCTTCAAGCCCTGCTGACTGTTTCACTGCATCAGATCTTCTTCCCTTCTCATACTTTTGCTTTTTTCTCCCTTCTCTGTAGCTTAGACGTGGATTATTGATTGAATAGAGATCCTGTAGTTTTGTTTTAATCATTAATTCAACAGCTCTTTCCCAGCAAACATTCCGTATCCCGCAGACCGACGGCTGAAACACACGAATCAATAACAAAGGCACCCCTGGTTTAAGGGTGAGGAGGACTGAGACGAGATTTAGCTGTGTACAGGACAGGGCGGAATAGCCTGAGGCAAAAGAACATCTTAGAAGTGCTCATTCCTGTCTGAAAAAAAAAATCCTAAAATATCTTTGCAATCCTGGTTTGTGGTACAAAAAGACTGATTGACACTTACTTTTGACAGTGAGGATCATGCTTTTACTGATGTCTGAGCCCACACCGTTGGAGGCCTGACAGAGGTAGTATCCTCGGTCGTCCTCAAGAACATGTCGGATAAGCAGAGAGCCGTTTGACATGATCTGGATGCGACCAGTGAGAGGGATGGGATGATACTGCTGCGGGTTTCCAACACCTGCAGGACAACACATAAATCCCACATGTAAAGATGTCAGTGTCTTTACTTTTCCTTGGTTTTGTGTTGATGTTAATGTTGGTTTTACCTTTGGCGTGTTTCCACATGACCTTTGGAGGTGGGTAACCCTCCACTGAGCAGTTCAGAACTCCTGCTTTTCCATATATGCAGTCCTGGTTGTTGGGCTGCACCACAAAGCGTGGCGGCACTGGGAGACAAAAAGTAAATTAGCCTCACAAAGACCTAAAAGGGGAGGAAAAGTACATTTTCCTGAGTCTGCACTGCATATTATAGCCATGCAATCCCTCACCAGTGACAATCAGCTGTCTCTCCCAGCTGACGGTGGCAGCAGCATTGCTGGCGATGCAGGTGTAGTTTCCGTTGTGCTTCAGCGTAACCTTGGAGATTTGTAGGGAGCTCATGAACTCTTTGGTCTCAATTGCAACGCCAGAGGCCGAGCCTGGCACGATGAGCTGGCCGTCTTTGTGCCAGGTGATGCGAATGGGCATGTCCCCAGATGACACCACGCAGGCAATGTACATGAGCTTCCCCACTGAGGTAGAGGGGATATCGAAGGGCTGGATGAGCGGTGGCACTGAAAGAGGCAGGAAGAGAGCAGAGAATCAGAAGAATAAAGGCAGCAATAGGTGTCTAAGAGTGGCAGTGTGGCCATCTGGAGCAATGCTACAAGAGATAGAGAAGGTCATTGGCAAGTGGGTGTCTCTTTGGTGCCACCCCACCCCATCAGCCTCCATCTCCTGCAGCCCAT